GGATGCTTGCCCTATGTAATACAGCACCATACAGGAGCAGCAACGCAGGGCTGCAGTTGCCCAGTGAAATGATTGAGAGCCTGAAGCGCTAGGTTATACTTGCTCTCAGGGGTGAAAGTAACTTAAAGGACTTACCGGAACGCCGGAGTCCTGAGTGGGGGTGTGGCCTCAACCAGAAGAGGCGTGGCCTCAGCCAGAAGAGGCGGGGCCTTTCAAGATTTAAAGGCCCTGGGGCTCCGGCTGTGGCTGGGAGCCCCAGGGCCTTTAAATCACCCTGGAGCTACCAGCTGCAGAGGTGGCTGGGAGCCCTGGGGCTCAGGAGCGAATTAAAAGGCCCGGGGCTCCGGCCACCGTGGAGCTCCGGGCCCTTTAAATCACCTTGGGAGCCCGGCTGCCGGAGATCCGGCAGGGATTTAAAGGGCCCGTGGCTCCTCGCAGCGGCTGGAGCCCTGGGCCCATTAAATCACCGCCGCGGAAGCCAGTCCAGTCCGGCACAGCGTACTGGCTCTTACTGGTACGCCGTACCGGACCGGACTCGCTTACTTTCACCTCTGCTTGCTCTATTCCATTATTTTCCTTGCTCTTCCCTGCCCTCAGTAGGAGGGTGTTGATTTCCCTTGGATTGCAACAAGAATTTTTCAAGACAGGAAATTAAGGCCTGTAAAAAAGAATGGCTAGAAGACTGAACCCCAGTATCAGTCTGCAGTCCACACCTGCCACAGCACATCCATAATGTGACACAGTGATAAAGCAATCTCCCAGTCACACCCTATGTCTCACTGTCTATTTGTCTCAACTAGCTCTTGTGGCACTGGATTCTTTGGGCTGACTGCATGCTGCATAAAGAATTATTTCCATCTATTGGTTCTAAATGTACTGCCCTTTGATTTCAAGCATCCCCTTGTTCTCATGTTACGGAGTAAGGTTAAAAAAAGGAACTGAACAGTTTTCACTTAGCTATCACTGAATAGTTCTATCTTCTATCCATTCTTTTTTCCAGGCTGTAATTTCCTGTCTTGAAAAATTCTTGTTGCTATTTTTTTTTAAATGAAGTAAAATGTCATTGCTTTATCATCCTCTTTATGCAGAGAGTGGTTGAAAAGATTTTGTGTCGTGTTAGAAAATTCTTTTGGTGATTTTTGCAAAACTGAAATAATAGGGTTTTGGGGGTTTTTGTCATTTATTGAGACAGAGAGATAGATAAGCAAGGCTTGCCCAGATCTCTAATTACCCTTGTTGTCCTTCTCTGAACGTTTAGAACCTCGGCTAAATCTTTTCCAAAGAAAGGTGGCTGCACTCATCCTGTGTGCAGAAAGGGCAGGACTCTGAGACAGTTACTCTAGGTGTCCCAGATTTTTAAAGCTAGCTCCTCAGCTGGCATAAATCAGCATAGCACCATTGATGTTAGTGGAGTTGGGTTGATTTTTTTAGGGCTGGCTGGAAAGTGTTAGTTTTATTCACGCAGAAAGTTTCAGTGAAAAAAACCATTTTTTGTTTGGTTTTTTGTTGACATTTTCAGCAGAAAATTTTAACGTTTTGTCCCAAAACTGCCAAAACAATATAAATTTTGGGCCAAAAACTGAAAAGATGTTCAGTTTTCAGATGAATATTTTCGGTTTTACGTCAATCAAAAAAAACTGAGGAAAGCAGTAACTTTCCATGAAAATTGTTTGATCTAAAACCCTATTCTCCATCAAAAAAAGTTCTGATGGAAAATTTTCAACCGGTTTTATTGATTTATACCAACTGGAGGATCCATAGCATCCAGGATTTCTCATTCCCAGATTTTCCTACATCTGTACTACTATTGAGTAGTAAGGGGACAAGCGGCACTGGAAGGAGAGCAGTAGATGAGAAGGGGAGAGAGAAGAGAAGGGTGATAACAGGAGAGAGAGAGAGAAATGAGACCACAATAGGACGTCCATCGGAATCTGTGTCTCGTGTCAATCAGGCAGTAAGGGCCGGTTTCCATAAAGCCAACTGGGCCATATGGAAGCAGCAGGTGTAACAGGGAAGGGCTGAATCACCTGACAGTAACATCAGAGAACAAATGCGGTCTATGAGAGTTGAGAGTTAAGCTTATGACCATAGGTGAAAGTCTTGTGCAGAATAGGCGGGAGATCCCTTCTTCAACTTTCTACTCCCTTGTTTACATCCCTTTCAAAGTTGCAGTAAGACTTACGCATTCTCACTCCTGTCCCCCCTGACTATTTTAATATGGCTGTCCCACTGCCTAGAGTACTCTGATTCAATTCAACTAATACCCAGATCCTCCCATCATGTATGCCTGGTTGGCTGAGTGAGTGGATGGATAGCTATAGGTGATCATCTCTATGGTTGACATGTTGACATGGCTACTGTGTCACAGCTTGGAGGGGGAGAGAAGCAAAGAGACACAGGTGTGACGAAGTGGGACTGTTCTTAATGTTTCCGCTGAATACTGTGTGGGTGCCTCAGTTTTCCATATGCATTTCCTAAGTCTCCAGTGTGTGTAAATGGCCGACAATCTGTCTCCTGGCAACAAATGGCCAGGGCCCTTCCCCCCTTGCAAGGGGATAACTAAAGGTGAACAAAGAGATCAGGTGACCTCCTGGCCTGGGAAAGAGACAAAGGCCAGAAAGGAGGGGCTGGAGGGGGTTGCAGTTTGGAGCTGGCTGGGGACGGGGAGTGAGTGCAGACATGGGTGTCTGGCTCGCTGTGCCCCAGAATGGACCCAGCTGAGGGATCCCGTTCTATGTACCTACAAGCTCTGTTTTAGACCGTGTTCCTGTCATCTAATAAACCTCTGTTTTACTGGCTGGCTGAGAGTCACGTCTGACTGCGAAGTTGGGGTGCGTGCAGGACCTCTGGTTTCCCCAGGACCCCGCCTGGGCGGACTCGCTGTGGGAAGTGCACGGAGGGGCATATGCTGAATGCTCCAAGGTCAGACCCAGGAGGTGAAGCTGTGTAAGCTTCTTACCCTGAAGACAGTCTGCTCCAAGGGACAGGAGGCTCCCCAAAGTCCTGACTGGCTTTGTGGGGAGCAGTTCCAGAGCATCGCCCAGGAACTCCGTGCATGGCTACTGTGTAACGGCTTGGAGAGGGAGAGAAGCAAAGAGACACAGGTAAATACAAAAGCCTGCAGAAGTTATGTCTGTTCCAGGTTTTCAAGAAGGTCTAGACAAGCAGGTGGCCTGTGGGAGCAGACAGCACCCTCAGTTCTGTCTCGCTGACAGCGGAGAAGGGGAAGAGGATGAACTGGACAGAGGAAATGTTGTCAAAGTAAGGAACTGAGAGTTAATAGAAGAAGATGGGACTTATGTTTTAGAAAGGTGGCTATGGAATATGCACAAATCCAATACTCCTCCCTTCTGTCCATGAATTAATGGAGCAGAGTTGTTCTCTACCTGTAACAGGCGCAGATTGCCTAAGCACATACTTCAGGCACTTGTCTTCTAGGCGCTACATGGAGTCTACGTCAAGGGGACACAAATCAAATGTAGTTTTTTGTTGTTGTTGATGTTGTGTAGGGGTTGTTTTTTTAACTGAACAAAGAGAATGAGGCAACCTGCTTCTTCTCCGACCCTAGCTCGGTGTTTGTGAGAGAGCTCTCTGATTGTGACACCCACAAGTAGATTCCAGGCGGGGGGTTCCCAACATAGGTGTGTGGAAGGATGGAGTCGGGGCTCTGAGCTGAACTCCTGCATGATAGCATACATGTCTGGGGGCAGCACAGAGGAGGATTAATCAAGAGCACCTCCTAGTTACTATCAAAACATACAGTGGATGTGGCATCTTAAAGAGGGACAAAGGCATGATCAGGTCACCTAACATAGAGTCACTTGAGAATAGAGCTGGGCAAACATTTTCAGCCGAAAAGCGCAGATTTGATGGCACCAAAACATTTTGTCAATTTCATGCTAGTTTCACCCAATTGTTTGTCAGAAAGAAAACCTAAAAAAATTCCAAAAAAAAAAGTCAGAATGAAACATTTCAATATTTTGGTTCAAAAGGACTTTTTATTTCCAAGTTTCCTTTAATTTTATCTTTTTAATTAAAAATGTTTAAAAATGGAAACATTTAATTCAACCCCAATTTTTTTTCCAATTTACCAAAAATTCAGAAAAAAAACCTGCTTTCAGTTCAACCTAAAACAATCTTTTATAATTTTTCAGAATTAACAACAAACCGAAAAAATCCATTATTCACCCAGCTCTCCATGAGAAGCACAATTCCAGACTGGAGATGTAAAATGGGGGCAGGCCCTCAGTCACAGACTCCTGGAGAACTTGCTGCACTTTTAGCCTCCAAACCTTTGCCTGTGGTTTTTCCCGAATCCCCTCCTTGGCCTGCAGCAGGCCACAGTGTCATTTATTCCATGCTGCTGAGATCAAACTGGGTACCACACTGGCCATGTTTACAGATCCAGCCAGGGTAAAATTTGCTCCAGATTAAAAGGCTTCATGTACAGTAGATCTGGGAATTCCGAAACAGTGTGGCAATTAGCACAGCAATACTCTAAATGCTCCTGCTGTTGCCTGGTAGTAGTGACCGTGAAGCTCTGGGGACAGGAGGAAAGACTGAGGCATGCTAGGTGGGAGACAGTATTTAACAATGTGTGTAATGTATCTGATTGTTTCTAAGCAGATGCTGGAGCAGGTGTTGAGGGAGCTGCAACCCCTGTGCATTGCAGAGCAGAGGTTTATTGAGAAATTCTTTATGCTGAGTCAGGATGCTGCAGACCAAGAGGGGCTCGGGGTAAGTCAGCTAAGTGAGCCATTGATCCTACCATGAGAGAGTTAACCTTTGGGAGCAAGGAGCTGAGATTAACCTGATGCTTGAGCAATTTCTTATCTAACTTAGCATCTCTATGACTGTGTCCCTAAGCTTGTATATGGAGTTGTAGTGTGAGGCACTACTACTTCTGCTGAGTTGACACATAAAATTTATCTTCTACCCTCCAAGTGGGAGAATGGAAGTCTCTCAAGAGGAATGGTACTCTCCCTCCCCCCATTCTTTCTTTCAGCTACCTGCCACAAGCAAGGGAGGGAAGGATGTAGCGTTTCCTGAGAAGTCTCATTGGCCCAAGACTAAGACCGAGTACGTGGATGATAAGTGATCTGTCGTGCCTGGAATTCCTGGGAGTTTGTGTCTGAGGAATTGGCTGCATATGACAAGGGGTTTTTGTCTCATGACTGTGGTGATTTCATACCTCTCCACCCTTCATCAGGCATTTCAGGGGACACACCCCAACAGCACGCATTTGTGCAGCGCCTAGCACAATTGTCTTCTGGTCCATGATAAATTTATGGAGAAGATGGTATGATGAGATTGCCTACAGTAGCATATGGCCCATCCATGACTGCTATTAGCATATATTGCCAATGGCTGCTTATGGGACACTAGATGAGGAGGGCTCTGAGAATTCATTCCCAAGTTTCTGGCTGGTGGGTCTTGCCCGCATGCTCAGGTTCTAACCAATCACCATATTTGGGGTCAGGAAGGAATTTTCCCCCAGGTCAGAGTGGCAGAGACCCTAGGGTTTTTCACCTTGCTCTGAAGCATGGGGCAGGGGTCACTTGCAGGTGTGAACTAGAGTACATGGTGGATTCTCTGTAACTTGAAGTCTTTAAATCAAGATTTGAGGACTTCAGTAACTCAGCCAGAGGTTATTTGACTATTACAGCAAATGCTATGAGGTTAGAGCTCCTAAGCACTACTGTAATACAAATAACAGACAGACAGCCTGCATCTTAGTGGAGTATTTGGACATGCAAAGTAGATCTATCATTTTTGTCCCCTCTGTGGCAGTGACCTGGGAGCAGAGCTGGTTAGAAAATGGAATTTACGTTCCATGGGAAATTGACACTTCGAAATTGCTTTCATTCTGAATCGGAACGAAAGTTGAAATTTACCACACAAATTCCAAAAAAAAATTGTATTTGGAATGATCAAATGTTTCATTCCAATGATGTCAAAACATTGTAATAAAAGAAGAGCTCGGTGTAGCTCAAAAGCGTGTCTATTTCACCAGTAGAAGTTAGACCAATAAAAGATATCACCTTGTCTCTCTATTACATACAAATACCCATAACGTTAAATATAATCCAGTACACTCCCACTTATCCAAATGCCCTTTATCCAAAAATCCTAATTATCTGAATCCACAGTGTCTCCCGTGTAGCCCTAGAGTTAATCATCCACTCATAACTTCTCAATTAGCCTCTTAGCACCTGTTAGTGCTAATCAATGACTTTGTATAGCAGCTACCTGCAGTTACTGAGATCTAATCCTGTATCAGCAACAGCAGCAGCTTGGCAGGACAGTTATGACTAATTCAGAATTAAATGACGACCACAGTCATTTTAATACAATTTTGGTGTTTTAATAAATTCAGTAAAGTTTGTAATTTATTAAAGAGTAAAAAACCAAGGACAGTATTAAACCAACATCAGCATTACTCCCTTTGTTCTACATATTTCCACATCAGTGATGCTGCAGCTCAACAGCACTTCTAGTTATCCAAAAGTTTTGGCTGTCTTCCAGGGCATTCAGATAACCGGGTGTGTGCTGTATATCAATAAAATATCAATAGTTCATATCATATAAGAGTCAAAATAAAATGAATCAAAACACTAAAGTGGAAACAAACTGTTTTACATTATCAAAACAAAGGAAATCGACTTTCTCCCGTCAACACAATCCCATGTTTTGACAAAACTGCATTTTCTAACCAGAGTCAGAAGATCTGCCTAGTGCAGTGTGGACACATCAGCACAGCTGCGAGACCCTGGTCCAGCAATTGTAGGGTTACTATGCAGTGTGGTCTCTTATGGGGGGAGGGATAGCTCAGTGGTTTGAGCATTGGACTGCTAAACCCAGGGTTGTAAGTTCAATCCTTGAGGGGGCCACTTAGGGATCTGGGGCAAAATCAGTACTTGGTCCTGCTAGTGAAGGCAGGGGGCTGGACTTGATGACCTTTCAGGGTCCCTTCCAGCTCTATGAGATAGGTATATCTCCATATATTATTATTAAGCGCAGATTTGGAAACACCAAGTCCATAAGCCTGGCTCCCACAGACCCGGCTAATCTTGCAGTATGGACACACGCACTGTGTCATTCAAAGGCATGTACTGTCCAGTTCCCACCAAGAGAGGTGGGATGCTCTAATGGCAGGGCACTGGCTTGGGACTCAGGAGACATGGGCAAGGCAATGTTCTGCCACAGACTTGCTGTGTGACCTTGGGCAAGTCACTTAGCCTCTTTGTGCCTCAGTTCCTGGTTATAAAGTTGGGATAGTGGCACTGTCCTACTGCACAGGGGTGTATATTCAGGATAACTACATTAAAGATTGTGAAGTGCTCAGATGCTATGGTAACAGCAGACTTATAACTACATAGGACAGATAAATAGGGGACTGTTGCTAACTAATATCACAAGAAGACAGGTGGGTAAGATTTGTCCCTCAGTCAATCCAGTACTTGAAGCCAGTTGGACAATGAATGAATGAAGTCAATGGGACAAAAAAATGTTGGCTTGTATTCAAATCACATTTACACTGGTGAAAATCAGTCGTCATGCCCATGGCTTACATCCGTGTAAATGAGTGTGGAATAGGACAAATTTGGGTCAAATTGCCTGAAATGTCACAGGACTCGGGGCAGTGCTGGTTAGTACCAAGTGTTTACTCAGCAGAGTGGTTGTGTGAAAGGGTTCTTTATCACTGCTTCTAGTCTGCTCACACGGGGAAACAAAGCACAGAAATAGGAGCAAATATATTATCAAGGTAACTGCAAGAATTCTGATAGTATTGTATCTTGAGACAGGATAGGACACTGGACTGGGGGGTCAAAAGTGTGCCCAGAGCTATTCATTTCACTGGGAATTGGGCATCCAAACCTTGACCATCGCAGTGTTATTGTTAAGTCACTGGTCATGGTAGGGCTATCACTTTAGAACAGGGGTCTCAAACTCAAATGACCACGAGGGCCACATGAGGACTAGTACATTGGCCCGAGGGCCGCATTTACTGACACCTCCCCACCCCACCGCCCTCAGCCCCGCCCCCACTCCACCCCTTCAATGAGGCCCTGCCCCTGCCCCCATTCCAACCCCTTCCCCGAAATCCCAACTCTGCCCCCTCCCTGCCCCCAGGGGGGGCAGGAGGGGTGTGGGGTGTGGTGGGGGCTCAGGGCAGGGAGTTGGGGTGTGGGGTGCAGGAGGGGTGAGGGGTACAGCAAGGGGTTAGGGTGCAGGGTGCGGCAGGGGGCTCAGGGCAGGGGGCTCAGGGTGCAGCAGGGGGCTCAGGGCAGGGGGTCGGGGTGCAGGAGGGGTGCGGGGTGCAGCAGCGGTTTCAGGGCAGGGGGTCGGGATGCAGGAGGGGTGCGGGGTGTGACAGGGGGCTCAGGGCAGGGGGTTCGGCTGCAGGAGGGGTTCAGGGGGCGGGCTCCAGCCCGACGCGCACCGGGGGCAGGGCAGGCTCCCTGCCTGCCTGCCTGCCCTGCCCCTGCACCGCGCTGCGCCGGGAAGCGGCCGAAACCTGGGGGAGGAGGGGCGCAGGGGTGTGTGTGGCTGTTGCTTCAGGCACCGCCCCTAGCAGCTCCCATTGGCCGGGAACGGGGAACTGCGGCTGCACTGTTTTAAGAGTAGACATATCTTAAGGCTTGGCCTACTCTAGGAAATTAGGTTGGTATAAATGTGTCGCTCAGGGATGTGAAAAATCCACACCCCTGAGCGATGCAGTTAAATTTACCTAACCCTGTGTGAAGACTGCTCTCAGAGAGCTGGATTATCTATGCCACCAGGATAATCCCTCCCATCAGTGTAGGTAGCATCTTCACTGAAGTACTGTATTCACCCATGAAAGGTTATGCTCCAATACTTCTGTTAGTCTATAAGGTGCCACAGG